CACCAAGACCCTGTCAGCCACACGGCAGGTAAGTGGGGATTTTCTTGCCTTTTGGGAAGTCTGAGGCCTTCTGCCAGCGTTCAGTAGGTGTTCTGTAAGAGTTGTTCACACGTAGATGTATTTTTGATGTATTTGTAGCGAGGAAGGTGATCTCTACGTCTTACTTCTCCACCATCTTGAAGGTCCCCCTGCAATAGGAGACTCCACTGAAGACACCAACCTCCGCACAAGCTAGAGGTGCAGAGGCATTTTTTTCAGAGGGTTTGCAGCTTGCTTTTTTTTTTTTCTTTTCTTTGTGCTTCGTCTAGTTTCATTGGCACTTCAGATGAGAGTGCCTAGTCAAGAATAATTTTAAAAGTAGGTTGTAGGGCTTCCCTGGTGGCGCAGTGGTTGAGAGTCCACCTGCCGATTCAGGGGACACGGGGTCGTGCCCCGGTCCGGGAGGATCCCACATGCCGTGGAGCGGCTGGGCCCGTGAGCCATGGCCGCTGAGCCTGCGTGTCCGGAGCCTGTGCTCTGCAACGGGAGAGGCCACAGCAGTGAGAGGCCCGCGTACCGCAAAAAAAAAAAAAAAAAAAAGTAGGTTGTATATCAGTTACTATTTATATCTGTGCATCTCCTTTCCTTTCCTCATTAAAATTAAAATTTATTTTAATCAGTTTTATGAGCAAGTAGTTAAAGAAATCAAAGCATGAAAGATTTATACAAATAAACAGTAGACTGGTGGTTGCCATGGGCTGAGCAGGAGGGGAAATGGGGAGATGTAGGTTAAAGGGTATAAATTTTCAGTTTTAAGAAGAATAAATTCAAAGGATCTAACATATAGCATGGTGATTATAGTTAATAATACAGTACTGTATAATATTGAAAGTTATTGAGAGTTAAATCTTAAGCATTCTCACCGCACAGACGAAAAAGTGAGTTAACACCAGAGGTGATGGCTGCATTAATTATCTTGATCTTGGTAATCACTCCATAATGTATATGCATATCAGATCATCATGTTGTACACTTTAAATATATACAATTGTATCTGTCAGTTATTCCTAATAAAGGTGTAAAAGACAAAAACAAAACAGTAGCTCCTGTTGAGGCATTCCACGTTCCACCCCAGCCCCTGGCTGCCCCCGAACGCTGTGAATGCAGCAACTACTGCCAGCTCTTTTAAATTGTTTCTTTGGACACATTTAAATCTTAATTTCTAAATGATAGGCATGTATTGATTGATATGTATCGGTTTATATAAATTTGGGACTTTATCTTTTGAATTCTTATTACGGAAGATGAGAATTTCAGCTCATTTTTAAAATCACTCCTTTACCCCTCTTTAATCTTTCCAATAAAGTCGCATCTCAGATTTTGGATAAATTTGCATTTGAGGTTTTCATTGTTATGACTATAAATATTGCTTTTACTACTGAGCCAAGAATTATTGTAGTTTTGAGCCAAGAAATAGTTTCTTTTCTATAATTTCTTGACAACTTTTTGTTTTCCTGGAACTGCTCATGTTTTTAAAAACATCTCCCCACACCCTGCAATAGTCTGGGTCTGTAAAATACCCTTGAATATCACTTTCTATAAGGTCAGATCTGTTCAATGATGCTCAGTCTGACTTCTGTTGTTTTGTGCTTCTGTAGACATTCTTTCGGGAGCCCTTTGACCCGCTGTATTCTGAATAGGTTGCTTTCTGGGTCTTTTATCACTAGTATCTCGGGACCTCTTCACTGTCATTCTGAGAAGTCCCTCCTATGTCGGAACCCTTTTTTTCTGGATCTGATATCTTCCTCCTTTTGGTGTTCTGCCTCATTTTTGTGGAGCACATCCTACAGTAGCAGACATTTTACTGATATCATTTTTGGCATTCTGGTGTGATTTGGTGACATCTCTGGGGCTGGTACCTCCTCTTTCATTGAATTCTCCCAGATGCTTGCTTTATAAATTTATAATTGATTTTGCAGAGGTGGCTGTCATTTCCCAAAGAGTCAGCTTCAGGAAGGGCTCTTCAATCTCCTGACACCTTATTACATTTAATTGACTGTCTGGGGTGCTCAGGAAGAACTGAGATTGGCAGCAGAAGCAGAATATCCAGACTGGCAAAAACAGGAACTGTAAATTAAATGTCAGATACCAGTCAGTAGACTTTGGCCGAATGACATTAGGACAGCTGCTCCAAGCTTTCATGGTCCTGTAGGGATAAACATCCTGGGCTGTGTGGCAGCTCTTTCTTGTCTGCTTAGCCCATAAGCTGGCATTCTTAAGCTCTGCATGATTGTGAGGTGTTGCTGTCCTGTGCATTGTAGAATGTTTAGCAGCATCCCTGGCTTCTATCTGTTAGTTGCCAGTTGCACACACCTCCCCCAGTTGTGACAGCCAAAAATGACTGCAAATGTTGCCAAATATCCCTCGGAGGGGGCAACATGGACTCCTGTTAAGAACTTTAGACAGTGGGCCTCCTCTTTTTTCAGATTTTATAACTCTGTTCTGGATATTTGAGGTTATAGAGAATGTGACACCAATTAACTGGAATAGTATTGCAATTCCCTGGAATTTTGTACAGTGTGAAATAATTCTTGAAACACCCATATTTCCATGATTTACCAAATATTCATTGTTTTAGGCGTACTGACACCTAGCATTTACTGAGTGTTCAATTCTTTTTGAGCCCATGCTACAAAGTGCCAGGCCCTGTTGAAAGCACAGTCAGCATCCTGTCACTTGAACAGATGGGGAAACTGAGGCACAGAAGAGCATTTAGGCAAATTGCCTGAATTAATGCAGTATGAAAGGTGCAGAACTGGGATTCACACCCAGATAGGACTTCAGAGCACAAGCTCTTAATCAGCACACTGTGCAGTGGGTGATTTTGAGCTGCCAAGACCAAGACACAAGCACCGTGAGGGGACTTCAGTCCATTTGCCTGTTCTGAGCTCCAGGAAGACAGGACGGCCCATGTTGTCTACCTTTGTATTTCTGTGGCCGGGGCCACTACCTGGCATATAGCAAAGGCAAGGTGAAGGTCAATTTTAATAAATTAAGCTCTTCTAAGCGCCAGTCTCATGGGCAGTCTTTGAGAAAAGAGGAACCACAACAAAAACGGAGCGTGTGTTACGGTTTCTTGAAAGAAGGTGAATTGAGATACTGTAGGTCGTTAATGGGTTTCAGGTCTCCTCCACTGGGGGAATAAGTGCCTTAGATGAAGAAAGGGAGCAACTGTGTAATTACAGCCTTCAGGCTGGGACGGTGACCTCCCTGTTGACTGGTAATGCTGGGAGATGAGAGGTTATACTTACGAGTTGTCATCACAAAATGCACTGAAGCGCAGGTAGGACCATTAACACACACTTGGAAAATTTAGCTTTTCTTTGATGGCTCTAGAAGGCAGAACCTTGCAGCACCTCTAGGTCCTTATTGCAGACACCCTGTGTCCCATCAGCCATGGAGGTGCTGGCTCACTGAGAGCTTGGGTCTCTGGAGAATGTAGACTAACGGTTTTTTAATTCACCTTCATTTGAGATGGTAGTGCTTCTGGAAGACCATGATACGTTATTATTCTGACATTCTCTCAAAGCTGTTTCAAGATTGTTTCGGGAATGGACTGGGAATGCATATGGCGTGTTGGTCCTGATACAAGGCTTATGTTAGCTGGTGCAGTGATGGATGAGCTCCGCTAATGGGACCCTTAGCCAAGCTGTTCCTCTGCTATAGCTGAGCTCTGAGTTTCCCGTCAGTGTTGGCCATGACAAGTAAGAATTTGAGCTGAAAGGTACTCAGAGGTAGGGAAGATAGACTGGCCTATCATTCTTATCTCTTGACTGTCACTCAGACTTTTTTTCATCTGATTATGCACTTGTGAAATAACCATAGGAAAATGGGGTTCGTGCAGAAAAGATCTTAGTAAATTAGAAAGGTTCACCTGGCTCACTTGTCTTTTTTCTTTTTTCTTTTTTTTTAGGTCAGGGCCTTGTCTCTTCACATGGTAATAATACAGGGAAAATTCCAGAACAGAAACTTCACATACCTTGTAAATTCAGATCAAGGGAGTCTTTGGTAGTAGTAGTAGCTGACACTCAGACACATCAAATGACTTAAATGCTAATAAATAAATTTTCACTAGATAAACTTAACCTTCAACTCCAAGTTCAAATATCATCTCTGACTTGGGGCTTCCTGTCCGTGGTCTCCCCCAGACCAAGTTAGCTGTGCTAGGCTTGAGTGTTCCCATAGCAGTTTGCTCCTATCCCTGAAATAACACATTCCCTATTATGTTCTAATTCATCTATTTTTATGTCTTTCTTCCTGCCTGGATCCTGAGATTCTAGGAGGGGATGATTCACCTTTGTACCCCCAGCACCTGGCATGTGTAGGCTGGTATGGAGGAGACGGTTTATGTCTGTTGGACGAATGAGTAATAGAACTCATTAAATTTCATCTTTTACACTGGGCAAGAGGAGGACTCATCATATTGAAATATTTCCTGCTTGTTAATAATAAGCAACTCCTTTTTATGATTTGCAATAAGGAGTTCAGGGCACAGTGACTATTTTTTTTTCCAATTCCTCATTCTCTTCTATTCCTCCCACCCCCATTCCTCGAAATCTCCTAAAAAATTTTGTCTTAATTTTCTATTCTGGGTCTTTTTGAAGAACACCCTCTCTTTCTTTTTTCTTTTTTAACTGAAGTATAGTTGATTTACAGTGTTGTGTTAGTTTCAGGTGTGCAGCACAGCTATTCAGATACACACACACACACACGTACGTACACACACACACGTACACATGTACACGTGCGCACACACATACACGTACACACACGCGCGCACACACATATACACACACGTACACACACACACGTATACATGTATATATGTATATTCTTCAGATTCTTTTCCCTTATAGATTATTACAAGATATTGAGCATAGTCTCCTGTGCTATACAGTAGGTACTTGTTAGTTATCTATTTTATATGTAGTAGTGAAGAGCACCCCTCTCTTTCTTTTCAGGCAGGTATTAATGAAAATGATTTTTACGACGGGGCGTGGTGCGCGGGAAGGAACGACCTCCATCAGTGGATTGAAGTGGATGCCAGACGTCTGACCAAGTTCACTGGTGTCATCACTCAAGGGAGGAACTCGCTCTGGCTGTAAGTGTGGCTGCACCCGTGCTTCCTAGACTCTGTGCCTTGAGTGTAAAGCTCTAGAGTTTAGACGGGCTCGGGGAAGTTGCAGAGAGGTATCTGGGGACAGGCAATAGAAAGGACGAAAGAGAGGTATCTGGGGACAGGCAATAGAAAGGAGGAAAGTTGCAGTGGGGACAGGAGGCTGGCCTTGCTGTAGACACGCTGGGAAGGTGCATCTGTGGCATCAACACCTTCCCCGATACCGGAGCAGAGAGAAGGATCCATGGGTTAGGCTGAGGAGACAGAGGTGTTGTCAAACTCAGGCAGGGTAGGCGGGTAGCTGCCATCTTGGATCTGGGGCGAGCTACTGGTGCCCTGACTGGTGGGCTGAACACAGCCTAATGGAGGAACTCTGCACAAGCAGTGAGTGACAGGTAATGGTCTCCAGCCACTGTCCTGGGGTAGAAGGGATGAATCTTCCAGATTCTGGGAAGAAAGATGAACTCTAAGCAGGTTCCCAAATAAAGAACCACTGGAGGAGGAGTAGAATCGAAGGAGGAGTCCGTCTGGGGCCTGAGAATGAGATGGAAGAGCCCATTGTTCAGAATTGAGCTTGGGATCAGGGCTGGGTCAGTAATAATAGTAGTCCTAAGAGAGGTGGGCTGCAGCTCCTTAAAACTCATCTCATGGTACGTATATACAACGGAATATTATTCAGCCTTAAAAAGGAAGGAAATTCTGACACACACTACGACATGCATGAACTTTGAGGACATTATGCTCAGTGCAATAAGCCACACACAAAAGGACAAACACTGTATGATTCCACTTCCATGAGGTTCCTAGAACAGTTAAAGTCATAGAGACAGAAAGGAGGATGAACGGTAGCTGCCAGGGTCTGGCGGAGGGGGATAGGGTGTTATTGTTTAATGGGCATGGAGTCTAGTTGGGGACGATGAAAATTTCTGGAGATGGATGGTGGTGATGGTTATACAACAGTGTGGATGTACTTGATGCCTCAGAATTGCACACTTCCAAATGATTAAAATGATTAATTTTATGTTATGTGTATTTTACTACAGTAAACAAAAAATATATATGTAAACAAAACAAAACCTTTCCACTTCAGCCCAGGCATGGTGGTGGAGACAGAGGCCGGACTATATCTGTGGGGTTGTCCTGTGGCTCAAGCTGTGTAGACAGCAAACATGCAGAGACTGGGGGTTAGGCAAGAATTAGGAGGGGCTGCAGGACCTTCGGTGCTTTCTTAATTTAAACAAGAAATTTTCAATTCCTCTAACATCTGTCTACACTGAGAAGCTGAGAGCACAAATGCCTTATATTTAGACATTAGGAAACTGACTGTGGACCTAGTTAGCAAAGAGCCCTCCTGTCCTGCCACCCCTCCCCCAGCCCTGACTATACTGCACACTCAAATCCCATGTCTTGGTCCCTTTCAGGTTTTACTGATTACCAGTTGGCAACCATGTAAAGTCTGTCTTTCTTGATTAGATTCATTTTAATGCCTGGAAAGATCAACATTAATAAGTAAACCAGGGCTTCCCTAGTGGCGCAGTGGTTGACAGTCCGCCTGCCGATGCGGGGGACACGGGGTCGTGTCCCGGTCCGGGAAGATCCCACATGCCGTGGAGCAGCTGCGCCCGTGAGCCATGGCCACTGAGCCTGCGCGTCCGGAGCCTGTGCTCTGCAGCGGGAGGGGCCGCAGCAGTGAGAGGCCCGCGTACCGCAAAAAAAAACGAAAAAATAACAAAAAAATAAATAAGTAAACCAGGATAAGAGGAGGGAACCTGGCATCAGTGTTCACATTTAACTGCCTGTCATTGTCACCGTAAAGGGGACTGTCTTACAAAGTGACAGTTGTCAGGCAATGACTCATCATCTGTTTTCCTCTGAACCTTTTTTTATTGTAAAGACAGTACTGTAACCTCCAACAACATTTAAAAACATTACCCGTGATTCCACTGTCCTTAAGAAAACATAATTTTTCTACAGATTTGTAATCATATTACATATGCAATTGTTATTTTTAATTTAAAAACATATCCATAACATTTTCTTGCTGTTACTCAGAGTTCATAATGATCATTTTTAATAGCCTATAATTTACTCAGCCATGCCTCTATCACCGTCTCAATTTTCTGCTATCACATATTTTACAGGAAAGCATTTATATACTTTTTTCTTCCTTTGAATTACTTCCTTGAAATAAATTTCCAGAGCGGGGATAATTTGTACATTTTGACAACGTTTGGTTATGTATTTGTGCTACTCACATTTTATTCACTTTACTTTTCAGTAGCACTTATGTGTGTGTTCACATATGCTGATTTTTGCTCTGTGGTGTGTCTTGGCTGTAATCAGCGGCTTATTACCATAACAATTGTTTTCACTGTGTAGATTCTGAAAGGCAAGAATTTTAGAAGAAACTAAGTTGAATTGCTCAAGAAGAATAGAAACTTGGAAAGAAAGACTGATTTGAGGTCATCAGTAAGGATGAGAGCAGTGATTTTACCATAATGCTTGTATATTAACCTGTCTAATCAGTTATCATTAGAGAAGCAGCAGTTGGGTTATTACTGGATTAGAAAGAAAGAGCAGAGGGTAGGAGTACTGTTTCCATTCTATTTCAGCTGGAAACACAAGAGGGTTTGGGGTGAATAAGAAATTGCAGTGGAACAATATCTTTCTTTGACTAAGCCCGGGACAGGAACATCTAAGAGGGAGGCAAGGGATAGAATTGCTTTTAAGAGTCAGTTTTTTTAAATGTATAAATGTATTTCAGGTCAAGGACAATGAAATGAAATCCGATGAGTTTCAGTTTATCTTACCTCCTGGAATCGGACTCTGTACTAAGGAGTGAGGAGGAAACAGTCACGGGTACATTTTGGTATCTGAGCCCCTTGCCCCAGAGGCGCTGGAGGTACCATGACCAGAAAGCTTGCCAACAACAGAAATCACCAAATATCAATAGTAAGGAAGACAGTAGCTGTCCTTCTTTCTCTCTCCCAGGGCCTCTATCCCCGTGCTGTTCCCAGTACAGCCATCTACGGCACCACTTTTAATATTCTTATTCATTGGTTTCCATATTTCTCCCCACTAGTCTGTGAGAACTTGATAGAAGCAATGCCTTGATAGTCTGTGTCTCTGGGACCTGGCCCAGTACCAGGCATCTAATAGATGCTCAATCAGTGATTCTTTAATGAATGAATATTGTAAGGAAGTAGCAGATTGGCAGTCATTCACACCAAATGGTAATGAGTTAACTAATTGTGAGTGTAAATGACTGAAAGCAGGCTTAAATTGTAAGGGCGAGAGGGGAGGGGACGTGGAAAGAGTAGACTGAGAAGTGATAAGGATTTTTAGAGGTGGAGGCCTATAAAACAATGTGGCTTTGGAATAATGTCATGGCTGACTCTTGCAAGTTATGAGATTTCTCTTCTTTGAACCTCAGTATGCTCTTCTGTAAAAATGGGTTAACTACTGTCTAACTCATAAAGATGTGGTGAAAGTTAAATGGAATTACGTTACGATGTTTTAAAATTACCCAGCACGTAATAAGAGCTCAATAAATGGGACTTGCTTCGCTCTGCACCTAGAGCGAACAGTGGTTTTCAAGCTTTTTTTTTTTTTAGCCACAGACCTTCCTTCATATAAAGTCTTTCCTGGAAACATTTAGAAAATACAGACAGATGAGGCTGCTTCGTGTGAATCTGGTGGTGGGGAGAGCATTGCCTGCCTGGCCCTCCCCTTGGCCCCTCACAGGACCACCCCTGGAGGATGCATTATGAAAGTATCACTGTGTAACAAGCATACTAAACAGCTTGAGGGTGCCTCTCTGCAAGTTACAATCCTGTGGGCACTCCAAGTGCGGATTGCTTCTTCCCGAATCCTGCAGGGTAACAGGCAGATGTAGAATTCAACCGAAGACAAGTGATGGCAGAGTTGGAATTAGAGTTTCATTTTTTCTAGTTAAATGGGCAGACATACCATAATCTCAGAGTGCTGCAGTTTGTTTGTTGATGTTTTAGAAATGGAGGGGAAATGGGGTGATGGCTCCTGGGGGTTGGCCAAATGGATGTTGCTGTTTCTAAGTAGCATCTATCTGGTTTTTAGAAGACAGGAGCACTTTAGGGGCTTCCCTGGTGGCGCAGTGGTTGAGAGTCCACCTGCCGTTGCAGGGGACACGGGTTCGTGCCCCGGTCCGGGAAGATCCCACATGCCGTGGAGCGGCTGGGCCCGTGAGCCATGGCCACTGAGCCTGCGCATCCGGAGCCTGTGCTCCGCAACGGGAGAGGCCACAGCAGTGAGAGGCCCGCGTACTGCAAAAAAAAAAAAAAGAAGACAGGAGCACTTTGGATTTACAATATATATTTCAGAACACTATGAAAATATTTCATTTATAAAACTTCTGTGGTTGGTATTTTAAAATGAACATCCATCATCTTATTTGTTCCCATCTGTTTATTGAGCACTCTGAACTAAGCACTCTGTATAAGAACTGGCCTGCCTGCAGGGAGCTCTCAGTCTGGAAGAATCCAGTATGTTGACAGGTCAACTAGAATCGGCACCGTACACGTCATGGGATGGGGATAGGAGGTCTGTTATCAGACCTGTAATACAGATGTGAAAGGTGATACGGCAGGTCGTGACGCTTAGCCATGGTCTGGGATGAGTTCCTAACCAAGTTGATGAAAAACTTTATGATTCTCATTGTAATAACTTTCAGATAATTCATACTATTTGAAAGTAATAAAATATAATTATTTTCATGATACTGAATAATTTATATTTTTCACCAATATAAACGATCCTTCCCCACTACGTTGCAATTTAGCGAAATGTTAATATACTAGTAAAAGCCAATCTTTTGTTTTCCTGATTTCAGGAAGTGTATTAGATCTATGAGTGTTGCAGTTATGACCAATGTGATGATTGAAAAGTTAATTATTCTGTCTGAGGTGGATAGATGCTTCTAATAACTTGGGCAAACTACAGGCAATTTA